CTGGAGGAATCCAGTCACACATTCTACACTTCCCTACATGGCTGGTTCAAACCAACAGTTAAAGGATTCACGAACTGATGTCAGTTTTTGCTTTGATCACCTGTAACTCTTCTCCAACTTAATCCTATGTGAGCTAACATAGCTTGTCGAGGAAGACAATGGCTTATCATTAGCAACTAATAACAAGGATCTGAATCACTGGTAAACAAAACGTGACTTTACAAAAGCTGTCCACTGATATAAGTTCCTATATCGATGAAACGATACACCGACAGTAGGCAGTACAACACAAGTAGAGAAAGTGATATGATAAATGGTAAGAAAACAGAAAAATGAGAGCAACAGATACGGAATAATAAAATTATTTGAATCTAAAAAAGGATGTTGTGTCGAGCAGTATTGTTTCAAATACAAGCAGACAGCACACATGAGGATATCAAGACGAGAATCACAAACGTAAAGCACACCTTCACCACTCTAAAATCAGTTTGGAAACCTTCTGCGCTCAGGATAAACAACAAAATTGAAATTTGCAACACCAATATTAAGTCAGTCAGTTCTTTTATATGAGTCAGAAACTTGACGCATCACGAAAAGCATTTCCAAAAGGTTGCATACTTTTACCGACAGCTGCCTTCTCTGGCTTTGCATTGAAGATCAGACGGTCAGTCAGAAAGAATTATTAACAAGACACTATGGGAACGAACCAACCAAGAACCCATTGCTCAACAAACATGCAGCAGAAAATGGAGATGGGTCGAAAACATGCTGAGGAGACCGTTGCATGAAGCCTTACGTTCCACTTGGAACCAAACAGAACAATAGTAATAATATATCCATGAAAAAGCAAACTTCGTCATGAATTGACACCATTTAAGGGCAGAAATGAATGCTGCCAGATAGAGCTTATTCCATATTGCAAATTATCAAAGTTCAAAAAATTGACTATTGGACTATGACTTAGTGGCTTTCTGTGATGAAGCCTAACACCTCTGTAACTTTCAAGGCCTCAAACTCGGGTGAAAAAGCTGTTTCATGCCCTTTTTCAAAAACTCATGTAAATTTGTATATAAAACTATTTCAAAATTAATCGAAAACCTGCAAATCTCATACTGTAAATAAAATCACTCTAAACTCCAGACTTACGTTAGGCTTTTCGGTGTTGATAGCTCTCTCCCAAGCATCAACAATTGCTCTTCTACGTTCAAGCAGTTGATTTTCAATTCGTTGTCGATGAACCATTTCCAAAGATTTACGATCACGTTCGGATTCATTTTCTAGCCCAATGAACTTGCTGAGAAACTCCTAAGAAATCAAAAAAATGTAAATATAAAAGTGATTACAATGTAAAATCAACATAAACAAAAGTCTAAAATCACAAATCCGGCTAATAATACAACATGATACCTACGTTGTATGCTCAGGTAATTACCACTGAACATCATTTGTTACTCGTTTACATTATCTACGAGTTCAATATGAGGACGATGAGACAAACTTTATGTCACATGCTCCACAGTTTTAGGTCAAATAAATTAAAAGGTTAAGTGTGCTGTAGTAAACGAGTATTAAGGTGTTTCTCAACGATAATCAGCACACCTACAATGTTATCTTTTCAGGGTAAAAGTTGGGAAGTTATTTCACACGCAACCCGACATTTTTTCCCTTACAGAGTTTCACATCCTTTACTGAGAATTATGAAATACGACGCCAAATATTGCCATAGATATATTTTGGCCTTTAACCTCATCTTTCTAGGAGAAAGTTACTATACGTTAATATTTTCAAATTGAAGAGTTTCAGGAAGAAACAGTCCTTCATATTGCAAGCAACTAAGTGTTAATTACAACTTAAGTAGCGTGTGATTTTCCGATAACACATCACCCTACCGTTTTCCATCGTCTAAATTTTTCCCACCTCTCGGGCTGACTGATAGCGACTACATGATATTGTATTGCTCCTATCTCTGAGCGCAGAAAAGTATTCATAGTCTCTCACATCACATAACAGAGATATAACTGTCGCAGAAGAAAATACTTCACCAGGTAAACCTGTTTTAATTCTAAACTTCAAATTTATATCGTTTGAGGTCACACGAAATTAAATGTACAGAGGTAGCGACATTTCAGATATGATCTCCATTTACTACTTTATCTGATACAATGAGATTCATTGGACACTGTTGACCTAGTATGTAACATCACTGCAAATCTAAACACTGAACATTGGTTAGTAATTACAAATATGGTTACATGTCAACAGAGATAGTCTTGTCACATGGTATTTCCTCAGGAGTGTTTACTGTCAAACTTCGTCATAACTATCAACAGCAGTTGCAACAACGTTCACATGTGATAACTAATTCTTCTGTGCTTCCGAGTTATGTCACTTCTGGCGACTGGAAATGACATGCCAACGCCAACTGCAAAGGCAGAAACCACGGTCGAGGTAGTTGTCTACAATCAGATAAGACTTAAAATTGAAGTATAGATATTAATGTGCACCTGTAGATGAAGCACTAGTCACTAATGCCACATAGTTCGACCTTCCATAAAATATGGTCAAAAACAATCATTGACAATAGTAGTAGCTCAGCATTTAAAAAACTATACTGAGACACTTATGTGCACCCTTTAAAGATTTCAGGTTTTAGAACAGTACTTTATGCTAAATACGTCTTGGACAGTAACACTGAGTGGCACGTGCTTGAACCTCTGATGGGATACTAGCTCCTTTCAGACTGCTGATACACCACACTGAAGATTGCCGACAGACACGGAAGTTAGATTAACGACTTCCTAGACAATCAGTACTGCATTGGACAAAGCACAAACAGAAGGGAATGAATTTGCCACCTACTTGGATTAAACTGTCTTCTGCCAATTGGCTCTTCACCGGATTGTTTTGCCAGTCTTCATCAGAAATCAATGACTCAGCATCAACAAATTCTTGTTTTAAAACCTTTTCCCGGTTGTGCAAGGCATTAGAAACTGCCTGTTTAGCTTTACTGTAACGTTCGCGCTCGGGTACTAACAGACCTGAAGGAGACTTCTGGTTTGAAAATGCTAAATAATTTATAAAGTTCTTGTCATCGCTGGAAACATTTTCCGCAGAAACTGCTTTATCGTCTACGACATGAATTTTATTCAGTACTGAATTATTTACATCCTTTGAATACGGAACTGACGTTGCAGGCACTTTAGAAGAGTCTATAAACGTTTTAAAATAGGCACAAAGAACAAAAAGAAGGTTCAGGGGAAACTTCTAACATTGCAATAACAACAGAATAAGTACAGAATCAAAGCTGAGATAGTATGACTGCAGTCTATAACCGTGACATTTTTACAATAAATTGGTAGTGACAGTTTATGTAATACATGAGCTAATCACTCAACTACAAGGAGAAATGAATTTGAAGAATTATCTTATGTGGCATGTCATCAAATGATTGGATTTAGTAACTTTCAGATGAATAGCATCAACAGCCTGAAAGGTCATCAAAATACACTTGGGTATTATTCACTAGTTACTGTAGTAAATAAGTAGTACGGCTGGTATAATCCGTAAGAAATCTAGAAATTCTAGATAAGTACTACGTAATGGTCAACCAGTTCTCATTACAAAAGCACGTCTTTTGCACAAACTGAAGCAGTCACATATTCAAAAATGAATAAACCAATCTTTTAGCAAAATAGTTTTGAATCAAGTGACAATATCTCAGAATTTAAAATGAACTAGAATTATGGAAAAGGCCTATGATGTATCCATTTACACCTATGCCATATTGTATTGATTGTAAAAGGCTAGTAGAAAGGTAGGAAAACAACATTTGAAGATACATGTTCAGCAGTGCGCTGTCGTATTTAGTTGAGAAGTTTGTCTCTCTGTTTTCGACGTAGAACTTTGCACCGATGTGCGGCAGTTCAAGTCACATATGCGAAAATAGCCCTCTGTATCCATGCTGAGATTTCGTCGGAGATCAGCCCGTTGGGGCTGATGGCACTTCCCAAATAAGTGAAGCGATCAACGTGCTCTAGCACTATACTGCCTATCTCTGAGCTAGGATTCAATGTATTCCAGTCCTGTAGCATCATCTTACATTTGGTGGGAGCGAATCGCATTCCAAACATTAGAAGACTACTGGTCAAGGTGTTTAGAAGACTCTTCATTTTGCCAGCGTCTTCATCTGGGATGAAAAACTATATCATCTGCATACTCTAAGTCAACAAGACTTCCCTGGTAGCAAGTCATTCCATGAGTCTCTAAAGTGAGTTAGGGTTAAGTCCATCAGTACATCTATGATGGAATTGAATAGAAATGGGGATAATGGGCATCCCTGACGGACACCACTAGTCGTCACCACTTGAGGTGACAACTCGCCGTAAATTAAGTAGTAATAAAACTGGAATGAGTTTGACTACAAGATGTCAATCAGTCCACCGAAATTTCACTAATAAATACTCAAAGGTATAAGTATAAAACTTGGGCACTGTGGTAGAGTATAATTCCATTATAGATAAGATTTTATTTTGATAAATCGCACAGTGTTTACAGTTATATGAACTGATAACTGTAAACACTGTGCGATTTATCAAAAAATCTTATCTATAATGGAAAAATACTCAAAGGGTAAATAAAATGTGAGTGACGAATGGCCGGAAAACTACTTAAATTCTTCAAGTAGAGTTCTCCAACCACAAATGAAGTCAACCACGAGCACATTACATTTATAGTTCTCAGTCAGACATATTTAGGTGGGATTTTTCTCGTTTTACAACTTGTCTACCAAAGCAAATAATTAAGCCATAAATTTGATTCATTTCATTTGGCTAACACACTGAAGAAACCTTAAGAAATAAACTCAGTGATTTTGAGTTACACTAAAATTCCTCAGAAAATATACGCAAGTCTCATTTAAAGGCTTCTAAAGGCCAAATTTCTGGTTTTCAGGAATGACAGCAACTGATTCAAAGTTAAAATAACAAACCAGATGAACTCACCAGACATTGCACAACAAACAACTTTAGCTGCTGTGAAATGGATAGCAGAGAAATCTTCTTGTTTGATACATGGTTTGAGGGGTAAATAGTTCTGATACCTCATATTACGCTTATGACACGAATTTCGAGCTGAATCCTCCCAAAACCTATGGTTTTCACACAAATAAGTGTGATCATTGTCTAGACTACTCAGTTGGCAACCATTTGGAACAAATAATGTTGACATTGGGACACTATCTACAAGAGCAAAGTTAGAAAATTAAGGTATAAACAGACCAAGACATATGAAAGGTTTGATTTCATATCTTTCTCGCTGCAGGTTTTGGCATTTCTCAAGATTTCCAGGAGTGAATTCACACCAGTCTGAAAGATTAATATCAATCGGTGGAGCTGCGACAACTTTGGTTATGTTTCTTTCGCTATAAACTTTGTTGCAGTATTTTAAAATTGAAACCTCATCATTTAGACAACCTTGAGTGTGATCAGTAACCCACAGCTGATTATTTAGATAAATAGATGGTTTGCCACACTCAAAAGCTACGGAATACAATGAATGTGCCAGCGCTATACATTTGAAAAAAACGAATATAATAATCAAATTTGAAGGCATTTCAGAGTGAGTTATGCAATGATATCCGCATACATATTCCAATGAATCCGTTTTAATAAGATTATTTAGTAAGAAGATAAGCTGATCAAAAGTGGTGCAGCTTTGCTATAAAACGAGCCAGAAGTTTGGAAATTATCTATTAGCAAAGAATAAATGCACTGAAGTGATAGAAAATACCCAGTCGGTTAATTCACATGGGCAAACGTGGGAAAAAAGGGTAATTTAGATCGGCAAACACGTGGGCAAAAGATGGTGTAAATGCAACCGATTTTACCCACTTTGGCCACATTTCCCACTTTTTCCCCGTTTTCCCATGTCAGTGAAAAATGTTTTGTCCCACTTTTTCCCAGTTTTCCCACTTGACCCACGTTTTTACCCACTTATCCCATGTGCCGGAATAACAAATGTACCCACTTTTACCCAGTTTTCCCACGTTTTCAACGAACAATTCAACACTTTTACCCCGTTTTCCCACTTTACCCATGTTACAGCCCACTTTGCCCACATTTCAACGGAAAACTGCCCACGTTTTTACCCACATATCCCAGGTCGAAAAAAAAAGTAACCGACTGGGTAACACGGTTATGCACACTACCTTTAGAATATCGGGAACTGTAATCTTAATAAAGCCCTCAGTGACACATGTTAACCAGCTCTAACACATTCCAAAACGTCAGGCTGGTTAAAAGCAGGCCGAATACCATCATATAACACGGCGGAATCAAACGAAGAAAGGCGTCACGGTGGATTGATTCGATAAGACCGCCTGTAGAATTCAAGTAAGCTACCAAAAAGATAAAACAAACTTAAAATTAAACTAACCCTCCATGTATTCATATCTTTTAAGCGATTGAAAATCTTCCTCTCTTTCTAATTTAATGAAAGATCTCTCCTACTCAGATGGCCCTACAGCATATTTATTCTTTTTTATATGAATTCGGTCTCATTTTGTTAACTTGCGGATTTCTCAAATTTCCAGTGAAGGGTGTAAGATTTTAATCTTATGGCAGCTCTTTTCCATCGCATATCTGTGCCTGAAAAATCCTACCACGAAGAAGCCATTTAAAGGTACGGACACCAAGTCTTCTGGGAGTTTGATCCCAACGGTTGGTGTGAAGGGACCAGGATTACACGGCTATGTCATTCGTCCGTAGCTGTCGTACTACGGCGCTCTGTACTTTGAGATGTTGTGACATTCTAGGAAAGGAAAGCAAAAATAAGTATAGTCCAGAGTCATTCCAAAATATTATATAAATGATGATTTCATCTCCCCTCTGACTATTGTAATGTGTTGACGAGACACCCAGTCTTTTTAGTCATTCGCTGTATAGCAGTCCAAACACGTCAAGAAACCCGCAAGCAGCAGTTCCTCTAACTCTTCACGCTACATATAGCCAAACTTTCAATCGTAGAGTTTATATCACGTGATACAGTTCCATAGGTTTAACCTCAGCAGAGGTATCGAGAAATTACTCGTAATCCTAGTAATGTTTGCACATTTCACGCTACACACCTCACTGACTTAATGGCTGCAAGTACACGAGAATGCTCCTGCTTTTCCTACGAAATAACATAAACGTGTCCCTACCTTTTTGTAAAAAAACAATCTATTCTGCTTGTGGCACTTTTTTCATTCATACAGATTATTTTTCACTGCTTTCCTCATCATAAGTCAAGTTTTTTCAATAAATGTACATGTAACATTTCATCTGTTAAAAGATGTTTTTTTCGATGTTCCTCATTTTTGCGTTTTTTTCTTACGTTTATTTGTGTACTGATTCCACCGTTATATCGGTTACATTTTTGCGACGAGGTTCTCAGAACTCTGGGTTTCTTTTCCAGGTGTGACATCATTGGAACGGAAGCAGACGACCATTGAAGTGCAGTGCATTGACAGACAATAGGCAGTCAACTGGTCGCCATTACACCGATCGGAAGAGCTTTATTAGTGGTGCTGCCATTAGCTTTTCCGTTCCGGCTGATTTCGTCTAACAGTCCTCACAAACCACCAGGTGAGTATGAGTTGTAGAGGTAAACACTTCCTGAAAATCATTAGCCTGCAGCATTCATCACTCAGCACTGTATACTGACCTTCATTGTTTCAGCCGACTGGTTAATTTGAAGGTTAGCATTCAAGCATTCACGCCACCTGACGCGCTGTCGCGTTGCATTTATTCGTTCGTGTACGGTCACCAGCTAGCTAAGCAACTAACATCAGGCTACGATTTCGATCCCGAAATGTATTTCGTATTTCGGACGACCAATCTGGTGTTTTAATTTGTCTTCAGTCTAATTAGAACAAATGATATAGCAGTTGAGGAATAAGCAGTTGTGTTGGCTTCAACTTGCTTTGAGCAAATGTCAACACCGCTTCATCACCTCGACGGGTTATATGGCGACTGTTATTATGTCATAATTTCTAGCTTATGGGTCCCTTGAACATCTACGAATACAGAGTCTTCTAGATGAACTCTACTGAGCTAAGAACTTACACAGGAGTAGTGCAGCTCATCTCTCAGTCATGGCTATTTTGCTCCAGTTGATTCTGAGGGATTATTCACTGCCAGAGTAATATGGCATATTTTTATTTTTAATGGTTTACTTAACTGCCCAAGCATCGTTATCAACTGTGTAAATTTATGTCTTTTGCCTGAGCTTAATTAATTTTGGCTTTGCTACCGACATACTAATATGTTGTTGAGATAACTTTAAACTATGTAGAACTTTATTTATTGTTAATGTAAAAAACTGGATGCAATATTGTAGTAAAATGCTGAGAATTCCATTCTGTATCACAAGTACTGATTTGGAATAGAGCTTATCTTATCTTATCTTAATTACAGCAAAAGAAAACCTCAAAGGACTAAGGTGCGCGTATGACGAAGGTGACTAGTGCGCATGACAGTACTTTTCGCCACTATAAGTGTGGAAATGTGCACCGAATTTTTTTCCAATAAGTGCTTTCAGAAACGCCAGCAATGCCTAAACAAGCGTATCTGAGGGTACCTTAGAATGTTTATGGTGATGAAATCGTCAGTCCTAAAACTTGTGAAATCTAATTTCTAGTTATTTAAGAGGAGGTCTGAAAGTGCCACTAAGATTCACGTAGGCATACTGGTTACTATATTTCACCCATTGTTATATAAACCTAGTTTTGCCTAACTCTGCCAGAAACCTTCAAATTACTTACAGGAGTCATCGCGCACTGGCGTGAGCCTTTTGTTTTTCCCTCCATTTAGAATGCTGGATTCCTATTGGCTAATAATACTTTTAATGCGTTGTCTAATTACTCCATTTTAAATGTATATACATTGAGTTTCTGCATAGCATTTCGACTGTTGTTCGAGACAGCCTAAGCTCTTTTATCGATGTCCAGGTTTTCTTTCGCCTTTCTTGCCGGTGATGTTGGTTTTGTTATTGACGTGAGGTTAGGACAGATTAGCCAGAGCATTGAGTTAAAATTCGTCCATAGTCTGCTAATTGCAGCTTCATATATAGCACCTATGTGGTCAGTGAGACCAATCTTTATGTGGCTGAAAAGCCTCTGTCTCAGAAATGTTATTTCTACTTCGACAGAGATAAGATAGGCAAGAGTTTCATCGCCTAATCCAATTATAATGAAGGCTTGGATGCCAAATATCACGTTCACAACTATTTGTATCAAAACGCAGCCAATAGGTTAATGTTCTTTTTTAAGATTTATGCTTTCCAGGAGCTAGTTTCTTGTAACATAGGCCGTAAAATTAGGCGTGTTTCTCGTCGGATTTCCGAACATCACCCTGCGTGGTAAAGTAAAGGACACGCTAAATCCATTCGCAGCGCTATTCTATCTCATCCTGTGGATACACAACACAACAGTGATGTTAATCAGGCTTTCAGAGTCATTCACCACATACCAGCAAATCTTAACTTCGCCTTTAGAGTTCGTTTACTAAATATGGCAGAGGCCGTCTGGGTCCACATTAAGAAGCCTAACTTATTTGTCCAAAGGAAGCCGGTTTAAACACTGTCTTACCTAGGCTAGGTTTCAATGATCCTCAATTCTCCGTAGGAATTTCCTCAGTTCTATTTGATATTCTGTTTGCTATTGTATCTTTATTATTATTATAATTTATGCATCGTCAGTGAACTGTGATTCTAATGGTCTTACAAATCGATATCATATGAAAAACAATCATATTGTCATTGACTACTGTTCTAGAGTATTCTGTGTATATAAACACATATATTTGTAATTGTAGAGCCAGAAAAGAAAATTATCGAAAAGGATATTCTTCGCCAAATTATTTTGTTTTATAAATGTCTGAATAAATATTTTTCCTACAACCTATTTTGTTGTGCGATGTTATGCCATGGTTATAATCACTACCACTCAGTCCTGATCCACATTATTCTTATAAATGTCATCGCTAGTAGTGCTTACGGGGTACAGATTTTAAAATTTCCATATATGCTAATGTATGGTTTGATAATGAAGTCTCTAATAAAGGTCCCTTCACCACGTCGTTTGTCATTTTTCTATCTCAGTGAGAATTCTTCCGGTTTTCACACTGGCCGGCCACGCTCACCTGAATTATCAGGTTTATTGGGCAGACCACTGAGACTTGAGGACAAAACAGTCAACCAGTCTTATATAAACCTGGCCAAGCTACACGGATAGATCAACAACACGTCAACCAACCACTATTGCGGGCTGCCGTCCAACACTGTTACGTGTAAGCATGTGAAGAAGCACGATAGCATCGCCCTAGGAGAATGTATGAGGACAGTCCTCTGTAGTCACTAGATAGATTAAGTGCAAGTCCCCAGTAACACAGGCTGGTCACGGGTTTCATTCAGAACTCCACCTCCGGAAATTATCAAGGTGCATAAACTCCGGTGCTTCTAAACATAAGGCCGGCGATGATAAACTTGGCAACACGAATGATTTTTAATGGTCCGAAACTAGTGCTGTCGAAAATCAAAATTTCGTTGTATGGACCGTCATTAGTACACCACTT